AGGAGGGTGAGAGGAGACCACAGAACAACATAGCAGTTCTCTAATATACACCCAACTGTAAGAGCAGTACAATAACAAGGTTTACCATGACATTTAATGTTGGAAACAAATCTGCAGATAATGATAACGTTTTTATTTTTAAAAAGAAGATCAAAACGTACTGAGTTTGCTGGCCAAAACAAAGCTTTTCCATTTTACAATCACCTTGTCTGATAAGAAACAAATTAAATAAGTAAAGTCAAAGTGCGGTGGCAACTTAAATCCCTATGCTTCTGTAAGACTTAAACAATTGGATGTCAAAAAGTGCAGTTGTAGAGAAACTCCTCTCTGCAAACACAAATCATACTCCCCCACTCGCAGAAATATACATTTTCAATGTCTTTTTCTCGAGTGAATGAGAACACACTGAGCAATGGATTGCCAAAGTGCAAATGAAAGGAATGATTGAGCCATTGCCAGTGATGGACACCAAACGCAGTGGCTAAATATATATTTGTTTAAACGTTAAGATAAATCAAGGGATTCGTTTAATTCAATCTTATCACATCTTTTCAACATCACAGTTTTCTCATCATTTCCCCACCTCAGAAACCATGAGATAAATGACTAGTTTTCAAATATTAGATGAGCAACACAAATTAATTGATATTAGATACACTCAGTACAAACGTTGAAGGGAAACTGTAATCCAAAAGTAAACTAGTCTATGGGATTTTGACAGCCTTTCTTAAGGAATTAACATGTAATTGTTGAGGCTGCTCTTTAACAAGCAGAGCCGTTCTAATAAAGCAGTAATGATATATAAGTTAGATGTAAGACATTTGGACAGATGTTCTACTTGCATGAGGAGATTGTCACAGTGTTCAAATGGAATGAGACTTCATTAAGCGAGTTGGATTGAATGTAGGAATGCAGTTATTGGAAATGTCACATAGCCTACCTAGTACAGGCATACAATTAAGGAATGTAAAATATCCATAAATGTTTACATATACAGCTTTATCCTATGTATGTACAAACAGATAAACAGCATCTATGCCAACATTGACAAAGGGATTTTCAGTTGTTGGCTGCTATAGTATATAACACTCTTATTCACATGTTTACATTTCCCTTGTTCCTCCTCACAGACATCTGTCTAAACACTTCATGGCTTTCCACAAATCAGCCATTAACACAACACAGCATGGGAGCTGATGGCACGAGTTCAGTTTCATGTAATCCAGTATGATAGCCAAACAAGACCCACTGCAGGATGTTATGAATGAGAGGGAGTCAATGAAGATGGCTTTAATGGAGATAATGTTTGCAGTGTATCCTCCGATAAATCATGTCGTTTTTAAATTAAGCATTCGCCGACTTGCTCAGCACTCTATCTGCGACTGGAGCTGCCGGCGTAAGGTGAGCGTGCGCCGGTGAAGCTGCTGCATCTGCTGCATGCGGTCTCGCTGGCGGGCCAGGTTCTGGGGCATGGGGTAGCGCTGGCAGCCGTACAGGAAGCGGTAGGGGATACGAACATGGCAGGCGGTGGCTCGGCAGCGAGGCTGAGGCATGGGCGGCAGCAGCATCCAGCGTTTCCTCTCTGCACAGTAGCGGTAAGCCTCCTTGCGGTACTGCTTGTCCACATCGTCACTGTTCTTCCAGCCTCCGATGATGAAGACGTCCTCATCGAAGTGGCAGATGGCAGCACCCTCGATGCTGGTGACCTCTGGTGGCAGGCTCTCCAGGATCTCATCAGAGATGTGCCCACTGATCTTTTGCTTGGCAACCTCATCCCGCACTGTGTAGCTCTTGGGGCAGCAAGAGGCCGTGTGGTAGAAGTTAGTAGAAGCCACAGCCATCTGGAAGATGCAATAGTTGTCAATAAGTGGCAAGGAGTCAACGTCTTGCCACTGGCGGCTCTCTGTGTCATAGCGCGTGGTCACCGTCTTTAGTCCATCGTCATTATCCGTATCGACAGGTGTGCGTGCAGTGACGTACACATAGCGGTCCTCCACACTCACTGCCTTCACATCCCGCAGGATTTTGGGAGCTGATTCCAGATTGTGCCACTTGTCCTGCTCTGGCTCGTATATACTGACATCTTTGAAACCTGGACTGAAGTTACCATGGCCACCGATGCTGTACAGTATATCTTTTATACAGGTGAGGCCAAATGAGTGCTTGCGTGTGGTCAGGTTGCTCACCTGCTCCCAGGTGTTGCGATTAGGATTGTACCGCTCTACGGTCTTAGCGAAGCCAGGCTCCATAGAACCAGCTACGTAGATGTGGGACTCTGTGGCGGCGATGGCGTGGCCGTCCAGGTGGTTGTGGATGTGAGGCAGGTTGACCCAGCGGTCCTCATAAATAAAGTAGCCCACACACTCACTCAGGTAGTCCCCTCCTTCTGACACACCACCTACCACCATGATTACATCCATATTCTGGCCAAAGCGAGGCTGAAAGGAGGCCATGTGGGAAGACCAGAACTCCATATCCGTTGACTTGAGGTTCTCAAAGCGAATAGCGTGACCCTCCACGGCCTCTGACACCAGCCGTAGGCAGGCCTCATTGCTGGACACCAGCAGCTCAGTTTTCACCACCCTGGTCAGATAGGTGGGCTTGATTTGAGGCAGCCTCAGGAGACGGAACAGCTCCTCAAAGTAGCGGCTGCGGTCCTCTGGGTTCTTCTGCACCCACTTCACCACAGCCTCAAAAAGCACCTCCTCAGAATCCACTGTGATCTCTGCATCCGACAGCCAGTCACGAACCAGGTGAAAGGGCAGCGTGTAGAACTCGTCATCCTGGATGACCTTGTGGAAGTTGCGACGGATCATGTCTGCAGCCCGTAGAGCCAGCTGGTCCAAGGTGTACATGTGGGCTAGACTGTGCACCGCCACGCAGTTGGTCAGGCTCAGCTTCTTCTTGAGGAACTCCCCACAGAAGTCCTTCAGCTGCAGCAAGAGGAACCTAATACAGAACCAACAGAGAGAATACAGTATAGGATGTCATCAGAATGAACTGTTCCTGTAACTAGATAATACTACTCTGTTTCAACCAGTTGGGCCAGGCAAGTCTTGCTTTCTGCAAGCAGAGCACAAAACAACAATTGTTTTGGACAACAGAGCAGCCACAAAAGGCCTCATGTTAACCTTCTGAGGTCCATCAGATATAAAACCCATCTCTATTGTTATAATATTTATACTTATCATGACATACATACCTGACCACAATCTACATTTTAATAGTTTGTATTTAATTATGTTGTTTGTGCAATGTTGTTTGCGTATTAGTATACCATTTGCTTCCATTTTAAATGATATACTTTTATTAATTGACTTGTATTCCCTATGGCTGTGTTTAAACCTCTTTGTAAAGCACTCTGGATATGGTTTGTGGTTTTTAAATGTGCTCAATCAATGCACCTGAAATGTTCTGACACATTAACTGTAAAAACATCATTGTAAACATCGTACCTGTCAGCTAGCTCCAATACTTCATGTACATTGCAGGTGCTAACGCGTATTTCCCCTGTGTACATGTACTGGATGACACTCTGCACCGTATCCGGGTCTGGTCCCAGCTCTGAGCTCCATTCCTTCATCTCTACACGTCCGGACAGGGACTCGGAGAACTGTCCTCCCAGCAGGGGGGTGAAATAATCTGTGGCCGCAGCCAGGACGGACCTGTGGGCTGAAAACTCGCAGCTTTGCACGCTCCCGCTAGCCGCCCCGCTGCTGAAGGCCAGCGTCACGTCGCAGAACAAGCCCTGCTTCCGCTGCTCGTTCTGCCGCCGAGACAGCTCTGAGCAGTGGGAGGAGGAGGTGAAGTCCTCGGACTCCTCGGCGTCCCCGTCTCCGGCAAGGGCGCTGGGTGTGCTGGTGCCGCCGGTAGCGCTGCTCCTGGCCGAGTCCTCCGGGTTCGGGGCCGCCGCTGCCATCGTGCTGCCGGCTCTGGAGGTGAGCAATGGGGGAAAATGAAGTAAACTAGTGCAGGAGAGAAGGCGACATACGCAGCCACACATACATGGAGTCAAAATAGACAACGACAGTGAAGCGCGTTTCGTATTAGGAGCTTTATATCCTCGATTAAGAGGAGAACATGGGTAGTTTATAAAAAGTCATTCATATAACACATCGTCCTTACAAACTGCAATATTGTGATGACCATATTCTGGTTTTCAATTAAACAAAGGGTTAATTTTCATATCAAAATAGTAGTAGATTTAAAACAAAACAACAAGGATTATGCAACACGTAGCCTACACAGCTAAATGTAACTATTTAAATATCTGTGCACAATATCTAGGGTATTAACCTATATTTATAAAGGCTTTACCATTCAAACACAAGCTAAAACATAATGACTTTACCTTTTTTATATCAAAGAGATTAAATCTTTTGTAAACGACGAATACGGAACCAACTTCGGTTTGGTAAACACAGCTATAATCCCTGACATGCGCAGTGGGTGAAAGGCGTGACCGCGTCGTTGACGTCAGGGGCAGTTCCCTCTGCTGAATGGAGCTCTGATTTGCACATGGTGTAAAAGTTGCATTTACACGTATAGTTGCCTTGGCAAAGGGAAAGGGAAGGTCAAACCACTCAAGCTTGCAATAAATGCACATCCACATATAAATCTTAGTATATTGCATTGTTTAAATCTGCTGCTATATATTGAGTTTGTTTATTGCCTTTTCGGACTGATTTAAAAAAAATAATATATAAAACACTTTAATTAACATACTCTAATTCAGACAGAATAAGCATGCAACTCATTGCAGACGTTTGACTTGTAATGGAAGGAAAAGCCCAAGCGTAATTAATAATGGCTGTGTGGTTATGTGTCCTAGCAATTGGGCCTGATGCACAATGGCACACAAACATAGTTTGCAATCATTATCAAATTAGTAGTAATTCAATGTAATAAAGTGCTTATCAAACATAATTCCTTAAACCTGACACATGCGCTCACTTGCAAATGTTACACTATATTTGAAAGATAACACTGAACACACATTGTATTATTACATTAATGACATTTATTTTACTCAATTACACAGTTGTCAACTAACAACAAATCAGTACAGAGGCACATTCAGTTCACATTGAGAGAGTTAAGGACATACACTTTGCAACAACACTGTTGAGGTTATTAGTTGTCAGAAGATTTATTTGACTGTTTTGTTACATTCGTACTGGTGATGGCTGTCAAAGATTTTGTTTTGGACTATATGCATTTTGGGAGAATGTTTAATGTTCTTGTTTCAAAGAGAATTTAAGTTTTGTCCTGCACTCTAATGGTAATGAGCAGATTGTCTACATAAAGCTTCTTTCCAGATTGTAACATGATCATTATTTGACACTTAAAATATTAACAGAGAAGTTAACAATATTAATTCCCAAAAAGATGTGAAGACATAAAATAAATGATGGTATTTAACAGATAAAATAATTTGCTGTCCTATTAAAGTGCTGACATCAAAGTATTCTAAAGACTGATGTAAGTGTAATGGAGAAAAATAGTGAATATGATTATTTTCATTGTTAATTCCTCATAGAAAATCATATTATAAACACATCCTGGGGCTTTTGGCAACAATTCCCTAATCCACTCAACAACTTCAGAAAGAAAAACATTTTTATTTGTGTTATGACTAACACTCAACTTCCATTTAAACCACTTTAGAAAGTACTCCCAAATGTTCCACCAGCTGAGAGATCATTTTGCCTCCAAATGTCATAACACGGTCCCTTTGTCACAGCTTGATATTTTCGACTTCAAAAATATGTAAACAAAATAATAAAATAGCATAAACTACATCATTCTTGTACCATTTAATTTCACCGACAATACATCTATACATAAATAAAGCTCTGGTCTACAGTATTTGTTTCTATTACAGGTATTATTGCACTACATGTTCACCCCTTTGTGGCAAGATCATGATCTAATTGGCACGAGGAAGAGAGCTGCACAGAGACACAACAGTCTGTGAGACATGCTAGGTTAATACGACAATTATACATATTTGGGGAAAACAACATTACTTAAAAAGCCATGGATTATCCCCTTTTACTCCTTCACTTGATTTCTTTTAAAATCTCCCTCAGTTAGACCCTGACTTTGCTTTACTGGAGCTTCACAGTGTACCAGATTTTTCTAATATTCACAGAGCTGCAGCACCGACAGGTTCCCAAAACTAAAACATACTCTTCTTTTTAACATTTGCAATTTACAGCGATAGTAATATCTTCCCTATATAACGCCACTGTTTAGGGGTTAAGATCACGGTGTGGGCGGGGGATGAAGGTTTGGGTGACACTCTATGGTTTATACCCTCTGATTACATGGACATGTGTTCTGGCAGCACGTAGGAGATGTCATCCCAGGGGTGGCGGTACAGACCCTGCTTCAGCCTCTTCTGGTCCAGGTAGTGTCCTAAAGAGATACAAAGAGGAAGGATTATTGTCATACTGGGTAGAAGTCTTCAGAGCCTTACATACTGTGGCGTATCAATGTGTCTGCACACAGAAGTGACTCACCAATAAATCCCATGCTGCGCCCCAGGACAAAGATACCGTTCAGAGCTCCAATTTCCACAAACTCGTCAGCTTCATCCCTGTGGTGGGCATGATGGAAAACAGGGATAAGAGTGGATGCACTGAAAAGATTGTTAAATACAATATCGGCATAATACGTAAATCATAAGCGCATAAAAGTGCAGGATGACATGTTTAATTTATAGGAATACTTCCAGCATAAAATAATCATTTGCATATTAATAACCCACCCAATGTTACCTTGATTTCTTGAAGAAAACTAAAACACAAATTTAGGTAATTTTGGAGAAACCAGCTCGAGTGCGCTAGAATAAAAAAATACACAACCGGAAGAAATCTGCCACTTCCTTACAGAGCCCCTCCTCCAACACACACGAACGCGCACATGACCAATGAGGGCACGAGATAAGTTTGTGCACAGATGGAAGGCTGACAGGCAGTAAGGCCATCCAGTTATTTTAGCCTAAAATGATTGGTCGTGCTTTTTACAGTACTACGGCTTCCACAGATGAACATTTTTTCATGGATTTTTTCTCAAAGCACTTAAGATATTCATTGCTATCGGGATGTTAAGAGCATTCCATGGAATATAACAAAAAGTGTATCTTGAGCCGGTTTCTCAAACTTACCTACCCCACCTTTAAGTGTAGATGCATTATGGTATATCTTAATTTAAAAGAGACACAGGGTGCGTAATTGATTAAAAATCAAATGCAATGTTGGAATTAGGTGTCATTTTCTGTTTGGACAAATACTGTTTGATTTCTTGCTGTCCCTGCTTTGTTTTCACCTATTTATTATATGAAAGTAAAGAGTATTATTTAGTTAAAGCAAGAAAACAAGGATCTTATCTCCCACTACATGGCTCCAATATAAAAATGAAATTGGAATGCCTGTTTCTCAATTTTGTCTCAAATATAGTGAAGGTGTCCCTTTTTAAACAACTGTAACTGTAAAAAGACATAAAAATGTCCATATTTATTGGCTCACCTTGTAAAACCACCACAAGTCCTGAGCAGGTCCACAAAGGCCACACCAATGAAACCATCCACGTTCAGGATCAGGTTGGGTTTCTAAAACAACAAATAAACACACAGGGGGAAACAAACATGTAATTGAAAGATGTATCATGTGACTATTTAATAAAGGCTGTGATTGGCTAGAGGAAGTGATAAATCTTACTTTGGACGTGGTAATCTTCTCCACATCTAGAGCGTAGTCCAGCATCTGGGTGGAGGGGAAGTGCTTCTTCACAAAGTCCTTCAAGATCTGGACTCTCATGTCTGGATTGTTAATCTGAGCAAAAAACAGACAATTCCCTTTCAGTCGAAATCTTTATCCTCCATTCAATCTGGTTTCCCTCCCTCTCTACTTGTCCTTTACATTATATGTGTAGCCCCAACACTGGCAGTGTATTACACCCCTGTTCACTATGAAACACAATATTAAATCTAATTTTTCTACGTCTGATCAGGCGCTTCAGAGCCATTGGACTCACCGACTTTACTCTGTGTCCAATGCCCATGATCAGCTTGCCATCTTTTTTCATCTTGTTGACAAACTCCATGGGCAGCATGCCGCTGTCAAAAGCGTTGCTGAACTGCTTCGCTGCAGCATCCAAAGCACCCCCAAAGCGATCACCCTGAAAAGTGACAGACAGGAACAAAGAAATGCTCAGACTCAGCTTTTGCAGTACATGTTACAGAAGAGAGCTAGAAGTATTGCAAATAGAACTGCTCTGTACGGTTTTCTGTTCTGTTTTTTTACATGTGTATTTTGTTGTTCTATAAGTCTGTGAAAAACCGAACTAAACTAAAACATGAATGACAGGTGAAATGATCTTACGATGGTTAGAAGGCCGGAGGTGAGGCTGGAGATGAGGTCTTTGCCAGCTCGAGCACAGACGATTGTGTTGTGCGCTCCAGAAACAGCAGGGCCGTGATCAGCGGTCACCATCAAACACATCTCTATGAACTGGCAGGCATATCTGGGCAACCTGCACACGAAGGGATAAACAACAATGGTTTATGAGGTTTAAAGATTACTGAACTACAAAGAGTTAAGGTATAGAGGTTAACAGGCTGACCTCCTCTGGAACCAGAGAAGCCCCAGAGTTCCTCCCAGGCCTATTTCTGACTTGAAGACCTCAGTGATGGGCATGCCTGCGTAGATGAGCTCTTGACCTCTCTCATCACAGATGCTGGTCATGAAGGAAGCAGGCTTACGGATCAGTCCCAGCTCCTGCAGGGACATTTTAGTTTAGTCTTGCCCTCAACCAATCACCAATGATTCATAATGTTCAGGTGTGTTCAGAGGCGTACTTACTCGTGCCCAAGAGTAATCCATCGGCACAGTCGGGGGAGGCATCTCTTCGGCTGGCACGATAACCCCTTTGGCAACAAGGCCATCATAAACAGAACTGCATGGAATCAAAACACAAAGAAGGCCCAGGAATCAGGATTAAACAATACTAACAACATTTTTGTCAAACTGATTATTTATCTAAGCACTAAAGGAATAATAAAAGACAAAATGCACTGACGTGATGATCTCTCCCAGCTCATCAAAGCTCTTGGGGACGAAGGCACCGGCCTCCTTCAGAGCTTTGTTCTTAGCCGATGCTGTCTCAGAGGCCTGGTTAGCACAAGCTCCTGCGTGGCCAAACTGAACCTGAGGGGGAAAAGAAGCCAAATGGGTCAGAAATATAATAAAACCATTCCGTATGCCCTTGATCTATCTTTGTTCAAAGCACTGAAAGGCACCAGACGCTGCCCTCTCACCTCTGAGGAGAACATGGTCGCACAGGTGCCAATACACCAGGACACCACTGGCTTTGTGATCCTGCCCTGTTTGATACCCTGGCAGATCTTATATTCCTCTGTGCCTCCAATCTGTAGAGGGCAGAGACAGATTCAGGATGAAGCTAATCAAATACTGTTTCAAATCTGCAGGCAACAATGTGTGTGGATTTAATCCTCACCTCTCCCAGAACTACGATCATCTTTACTCCGGGGGTGTCTTGGTAGCGCAGAACATGATCAGTAAACACTGAGCCTGGGTATCTGGAGACAAGTAAAAGTGTAAAGAGCAACTCAAACAAGATCACATTCTGCGGATATAAGATAGTTACATACCTGTCCCCACCAATGGCTACGCCTTCAAAAACACCGTCGGTGGTGCGGGAAATTATGTTGTTGAGTTCATTGGACATGCCGCCTGAGCGGGACACGTAGGCCACGCTGCCCGGGCGGTACAGCTTGGAGGCCAGGATGTTATCCAGCATTCCTCCGGTGTTCCCGATCTTAAAACAGCCTGGCTTGATTCCTCCCACCTGAGAAACAACACAGACAGAGAGGTTTTATTGGTATGCTCAGATAGAATAACAAAGAGTGAAATTGTGATGAAAAAGAGTGAAGCAAGACTAACAGTTGCTGGTCCAATGATGTTAACACCCTTCTTATCTGCAGCCTTGATGATCTTCCTGGTGTGGGCTTCAGGGATTCCCTCAGCGATGATGGCAATGGTTTGAATCTGAAAGCAAGTCATTCAAAAAAGCTTAACTTCAAAGGTTTTATTTTTCACATACTGTACATAGCTACAGTGTATTTGTGCAATTAAAGTCTTCGGTCACAGGTTCCTTCAACAATGCAACATAAATATATATAAGACATAAAACAAATAAATAACTTAGCTGTTATCTGCCTTGCAGATGGTTACTCTGGTATAATTTAATGTTTTGGACCAGATAATAGAGAGAGATACAACAAATATAGAACTGCTTTCACATGAAATAGAGGATTTCTAACTACAATTTTTTTTTTTACAAAGGTATGTCATATTTCCGGCATAAAGGCACTAGTATGATGATGATGTAAAACTTAAAAAGTGCACTACTATATAATACTTAGTACGTTTAGAAACCTGATGGCCAGGTGGTAAAAAGTGTTCAAACTAAGTACGGGATGATGGTGCATTTACCTGAGGGTACTGCATGGTCTCCATAGTGCTATCAAAGGCCGAACGCAATGACGCAAAGTTGATGAGCACGTCCACGTCCGGGTGCTTCTTCATGGCATCACTCATGTTCTTATAGACAGGGAGGAGGATCTCTTTATGGCCCCAATAGTACTTCTGTTTGTGGTCTCCACTGAAAGGCAGCCATGCAGAAAAGCATTTGTCACACAGTGAAAGGACACAGTTTCTTAAAGAGATTTTTATTATTTTAAATAACTCCTCAGCATTTACACTGCCAGCTCCACAAAGTGAACACACACTAAAGAGGAAGGACGGAGCACACTCACGTGAACGGGTAGACCATGGCGGCGACGGATGGCTCTTCTCTGGAGCAGACATAGTCAAAGTCCAGCATGCCTTGCACCGCCCGAGTCTGCATACCCCACACAATGGACTTGGTGTGTTTGCTGAAGAGGGAAGTTGCCTTGGCTACAGGGAGAGAGAGCCGTCACATACTGTGTGCATGCATTTACAAAACCTCTTATAAAGTTTGAGTAATCTATATTTCACATGGGCATTAAAGGGGCAGGTGAACATGAAATGAATGAGGTTAAAATAATTACACTTTTACTTTTTTTACAAAGGGCCACGACACCTTTTTGGCCATAAATAATATTATAAGGTTGAAAGAAAAAGTCTCTCATTAACTTCAATCCTACAGAGGGATTGTAAATCTAAATAATTTGCCTAATTAAGTTTTAAATATTCAGAGCAAATAACAAAGACATGTTGATCTTAAAGATGTACAGACAGGGCCGTCCCTGCCCAACTTGTGTCCCCACGCAAAGTTATGCGATGAGGCCCCCTGTGTCGAGAGCGTCAACGGGGGGGTGATAGTGGAGCACGCGCCGGAGCCTCGCAGCGGCGAAACTGTGGCGCGCTTACAGTAATTGCGCCGCATAAGAGCATAGAGGTGCGCCGCATTTGCGCTACGGATGAGGCGCCCTCTGCAAGATGAGGCCCCCTCCGCGAGGTGAGGCCCCATCTGCATGTAAGGAGGGGCGGCCCTGTGTACAGGAATAGATGTGTATGTGTGCTAATATATATCAGTACACCGAAGCTCCATTTTAGTGAGTGTGGATTGCACTCCTTTTCCTGCCCAAAGGGGGAGCTAGCATACCTGAACTCTGTCATGCATCACAAGGCTATTCCAGCTGTGCAGTCATACATAAGAACTCATCAAAGCCTCAGCCTTCCCAGTGTGCATTTGTGTGTGTGTGAGTCTGAGTGAGTGTGGGTGAGTGTTTTCTCACCGATGGGAGCTCCAGCTTTGGCCTTCTTGGATGGTGAGTCCTCAACTTTGGCTTTGTTGTCAGAGAAAGAAGCAGTTCTGCTGGATGCTGGGGTCTGGACACGACACAATAAAGGATCAATTCATTTTGTATTCTGCCCTGCATATTTAAAAAACATTTGTGCTAATAGGGACAGCTCTACTGAGAACTGATCTGCTTTAACTGTAAATACTGGCAGTGATCCTTTATATTTTAGGAGATTGATGTCATCTGCGCACAGTTACACAACGAGTCTTAGTTTAATTTATTTATGCATCGCCCACTTAAGAAAGCTAACTGGATGTCAGTGCTTTAAGCTTTAGAGTGGACACTTTTATTTGAATCAAAAGCTTTTAGAAAGAATTGTCATATAATTTAATAAAAAATATTTTTGCTATTACTTTTATTTTGTAATAATCATATGTTTTGTTGTTATAAAGTATATTGTAGTACAATGCAAAGTTTTAAATATGCATTTCTTATTTCTTACAATGTGCTCTATGTTTAAATATATTTATATCCTTGAATGAGAGCGAGTGTAATCTAACCTAATTCCCCCACGGAAGTATTTTTGGTTCCGATTCTTATATAGTATAATATTAAATCTTCAATTTTTAGTATTCTTCCTACCTCTACATTTGAAGCAAACAGTGCACACATGTGTAGCCGTTTGCAGAAACACACACTCACTTTACTGAAAGCCTACGCACTGCAAAGTCTTAATGGATCCCTCGGGGCGGTGCAGTGCGTTACTGACTGCAGTCTCACGACTCCTGAGTGAGAGGAGTCCACCATGCACTTCAATGCTTTTATAGAAAAGAGCCTTCAGGGTTCTGATAATCTGGTTCACTAAAAGGGCAAGACAATAACTGAAACACAGGCTGAGGTATTCAAGTATTTTTCCCACTCTGCCTTTAAACTTTACCACACTATTCGGCGGGGTTGACGATGTGAATTCACTACACAGTGAGCTGGAACAACATCACCACAGCCAATTTGTCTCTGTGGAGTCACTATTTGTCATACCCCGGGGCTGCCGCTGGAGTTGAGAAGGAAGTTGGCCGTGTGGGCAGCGGCAGGAGGCTGGTTGGGGATTGCCCGGTGGCCCAGCGCCATGCCGACAATGGCAGTCATGTGAGTTTCTGTGCCAAAGACATGGAGAGGGATCCCAGTGGTCTTGCCTGAGGAGAGCAGGTAGAGGGAAATAAATTAAGGTGCATTGAAATGAGCAGGTGCTTGCGGATAAAACTGCCCTCAAGAAGTGTGTTTAAATAATGTGAAACATACCAACTTCTCCCATCACTCTGAGACCTTCCTGGTAGTTGGGGCCCCCCCGGCGGACAAAGATGGTGACCTCATGCTCCTTCAGTGGCACCTGATAGTCTCTGATGGCTCGGACAATCCCCTAGAAAAGATAAGAACATGCTCTGTGAAAAACTTTATATTTAAGTTTAGCATTTAGGTTAGCATATAATTGACAAGAATTTGATACTTTACCTTAAAAGTTGCTGCAACATTTGTGAAGTTTGCAATGCTTCCCCCAATGATCAAAACCTTTCCTAGAAAACATCATTATAAAAACAGTATTTTAGGGGATATTACCACTTCGAGTGCACACAGAAAGTTTAGCTGGATCTGTTTTCTTACCGTCAGGGTGCTTCTCTCTTGTCATCAGGGACAGGATGGTCTTGGCGTAGTCGTAGGTCTGCTGTTCACTTGGTGCTCCTGAATACTCCCCGTAGTTAGCCAGCTCGTTGACGCCTCCCAGGTCACAGATTGTGTCACTAGGAGAGGTTTACATTAGTCAACCACACGAAAAGCAACAGCTGTTTGTGTCCAAAGCTGGCACAATTATACAGACATTTATAAGACAGCAACTTAACTTTAGCACTAAGCTTAAGATACACTTAGACACTTAATGCACTTTTTTGCATCAGTTATAAATGAATAATGTAGTGTAAACAGACACAACTTAACAGTGCACAGAGGGAATAATTAGTCATGGCTGATGTGTCTGCGTGTCACGCTTCACACCTCCAACAGACGGTGGAGTGAGGCAGACACAGCTCATTCCTCCAGACTCTCACCAAAATGTAAACATCTGAGAATCAACTTCAGCAGGCAGCTGAAGTCTGAGCATAAACTCAATTATGCGTAGTATAATCAATGTAATTAGGAAAAAGTCAAGGGACAATTTAAGCAAACAGAGGAAAACATCCAAGTGGATTATTTCAGATAAATGGCTACTGCGTCCTATTTATTCAGGCTTTGCTTTAAGTAGTGTGGGTACCTGTACACCACCGAGGCGCCCCCCCCTGCCACCATGGTCCAGATCCTGCCTCGGGGGTTGAGCAGGGTCAGTTTAAGGCTGGCACCACTCTTTGCATCAAGGTCCGCAATGTAGGCCTCCTGTAAAAGTACAAGAAAAAAGGTTATAAAAATGCCTTAGTACAGTACTAAAATATTTTTATATTTAAGATAAGCCATTCCATTTAAGGCTCTGTTATTCTTCTGCTCCACCACATCTTAGAGAGCAATATTGTAGGCCTACTTACTGACTGGTTTAATACGGAGCTCCTAAAGGGACATGAAAAAAAAAAAAAAGACAGAGAAATAAATAAAACAGTCGGGATAACGGGTTAGGGCTGTAGAGCTATTTGTTTAAGCTCTAACCCGATGAAGTTCGAAATATATCTAAAAAACTTCTAAACTTTTTTTTTTTCTCTCTCTTTTTTTTCCATGTCCCTTTGCAGTGCTTCTCAAAGTGTGGTCCGCGGACCACTGGTGGTCCGTGAGCGCCCCCTAGTGGTCCGTGAGTATATTGGTAACATTTCACATTTGAAATAAATACATTTATTTAAGTTGTTCGCACTCTCGCGGGAATATCTCCGCAATGGAACGAGCTTAAGTTTAACTTTCGATTGCATGATATAGCCCAGATAAGCACCTTCATCACACATGTTGCCACTTGTTTGTACAATTTTCAGGCGATTTGTAAAAAACGATGTGTTTTTGGATATTTGTGGAGTTAGGTGGTCCGCGAGTGTTTTTTTATTGGTTAAGTGGTCCTTGGTATGAAAAAGTTTGAGAAACACTGCTTTAGGGGCTCCGTATGTTTACACTGTAGTATTACTACTTTTAATTCAGAAAAATACCTGAGTACATCTTCCACCTCAGAGCATAAGTGGTCTATTTGACCATAGTTAGTTTCTTGTGCCTGCATTGATTAAATGAAAATATTGTGAAAAATATTAAGAGTGGATGTGATGTGCTTCAGTGGTTGTTTGTGCCAGTCAGGGCCACAGCTGGTGGCTGAGTGTAAAGAAGGCTCCCAATCAAAGGCCCACGCTGTCCCTCGTCTCCACCCCAGCCCAATTAGACGAGCCCGTCTGGTACACAGCGTCTGTCTCTGAGGAGCTCCTACATGCATCTGCCAAACATATATTAAATTGAGCCCTGTCATGCAGGTGAATCAGATGTTCTTCAAGAGTAAACATAATATATCAAATACCTTCACAAAAACAAGTCTTTGTTACAATAAGCCTACATTCTAAAAAGCAAAACAATTAACCTGTTAAGCCCCGAGCCTGTTTTTCAGGTCTCAGGCTCGAAAATGACATTCCCAGAACAAATGACCATATCTTCCCTTCTAAAAGGGTTACATTAATAATCTTTTTTCTCAAAGCAAGGTTACATCTGTGAGTTGAATGTAGAAGTGTCAGCATCAATATAGATCTTTTTATTTTAAAGTAAATTCAGATTGAACACAGTAAAAAAATGTAAATGATTGTGTCGGTCCAAAAAAAAAATTACTTAGTGAAAACCACCCTTGAATGACGGGATGGTAGACTAAAAGCTTTAGGAATCCAAACCACAACATATAATAAGTACCCTGTATCAATATTGATGCAAAACAAGTGAAATGTGATCTTTTTAGAGAGATTTAGCACAAAAAAACACTTCTGGGGTCATTTGGGTGGATTTTCCATATCTCTGGCCCCCCTTGGTCGATTTTGATGATTGACATATTTTTCTAACCGTCAGAGCCAATGGAATCAAGGGGAACTCCCACATACACACATTACCAAATAAGGAGTGAGAGTGACGCATAGCCAAAACCGGAAGCTGCGATAACTCTGGTAGCTACCATTAGCAGCTAACTTTTACTCTCCGATTTTTACATAAAATGGAATTATGGATTATAAATAATTTTTTCAAAGTGACAGACACATTCAATTAACCTGCGTTTTTTCTCGTTTTAATGCCATTGAACACGACTTTTGATCAGAATAACCGCTAAGGTGAGACGATGGCCCCTTTTTTCCTCCGTAATGCTACGTGTTGTGATGTCTGTGTTTGCTTCCCCTGTCGCGAGTTCTGATCACTCAGTGATGATACTATACCTATATAATCTGTGGAGTCTCAGCTTTAATCGGATATCTTGTATGTGAAGTTACGATAAGTAATAATGGTATCTTTATCTTGAGTTCTGTGCCAAAGTACGTTAGCATTTTTCGCTCAGGGGTCATTTAGATGCTTCTTATGAGACTTGTGTTTTGTTTTGGTAAAAATGGTTTGTATCGTCAGTTAGCTGAGATTCTTCCCGTTAATCTGGTATAACACATTAATAGGTTTTTAAATATTAAGATGCCCTGAGACACAGAAAAAAAGGGCCCAAAGGGGTCTTTGGGGCTTAACAGGTTCACCACAAAGCTCTATTCCAAACAGGCATCTCATAGATGATGACATTGAAACATGACGCCATTACATTATTTATCAAGTTTTTACACGCAGGTCTCTGCCCAGACGACCTTTACTTGGAAATGTCTCCACGTCTTCATAGCTCTCCAGAATGAGTCATAAAGGCTGATTAATGGTTGTGTGTTGTTACTGCCCTTCCTCATTAACTCCAGCTGGGATAGGGTCACATGTGGCGAGTTACCTCACCTCTCTTAAGACTGACACATAAGTAATTAATCCACTCATTATATGGGAGGGAAACTACTTCAGTCATAAATTAGCCAATTCATTTATTGAAGATATTGTAAATACTCCAATCCAAATGTTTTGGTCACCTCTAGTATTTGTAATTTTCACAATTTCAAATCCTACTCAACACCTCATACAGTTTCATCTCCCTCATTGGAGAACCACAGCAGCCTAATGATGCGGACAGCGAGTGTGGAAACATAAATCAAATCAGCCAGACCTTTGATTAGAAATGGTCTATCGACACATTACATTTCATTTAGCTGACGCTTTTTATCCAAAGCGACTTACAATGACCAATTACAGGGACATTCTCCCTGGAGTAATTAAGGGCTAAGTGCCTTACTCAAGGGCACACTAGTGGTGGTGTTCCAGACGGGATTTGAACTCACAACCTTCCGATCTTCAGCCCGCCTCACTATCCATTAGACCACCACTACCCCGTTTGACACGTTTACATAGTTTTTTTTCCACTTATTCTACTGTATTTACAAGTTGTTCTATAACTTTGTATTTCTATAATACATTTCTTCACACTAATTAACTGCTCTTACCTTCATTATATAGCATACAATTATATTTATTGTTTTATTGTCTTGTGTTCATTTATCTCGAGTAGCTGAATAGTTTTGGTCTTGGCCCTCAGGTCCGTCTTATGATTGGCTTGTGGTTCATCTGTGAAGCACTTTGAACTGCACTAAGCTGTATGAAAAGTGCTGTTCAGAAAAAGTTGAATTAATTTACTGACAGACGAATGTGATGCATTCCTAGCTCTGTATCTCCGATGCCTTCCTCACCTCAGGATAGGCCTCCCTGCCGAAGGGGGGGGGGAACTCCACGTCGCCCCACTTGGCCTTGCAGAGATAGTCCGCTGTGGCATCGATCTTGGCTGCCATGTCCAGCACGTAAACTCCATCTTTTGTTACCACTGAGAGAAGAGGGGAACAACAATAGTGTTGAGATCTATACTCCTACAAGGTTTACGAGCACCCACCTGCTGAGTTTCATTATGTTTGCACCACGCTCGGGCGCAGGTGACCACCACCTTCCTCCTGTCCCTGCAGGAGGTGGAAGGAAAGTGAAGATGGGGGTGGTTGGAGTGAAATCAAAGCAACCCCCGCTACTTCCACAGGAACAGCTGCCAGAGGGCACGTACTGCTGCCCAATTACTCCATTAAAAATAAACACACGCTGCCTTCATCAAACAGATGCATGCATGAATTACTGGTTTCCTCCCTCAGTGTTAAAAATGTTGGTTTCCAGATAATGTTTTATTATGCATTGATGTTTTCATCTTCAATTTCCGTTTGATGTCCCCCTTTCATAATCTGATCATATATTTATGAACCTGTGTTGGAATAAAAACAGAGCAAAGAAACGTACCCAGTGGATTGATCTCCAGGTAGGTGAAGAACAGATCCTCGTACAGGTTGAAGAGCCCCACGATGAAGCTGGCCAGCACTCTGCAGAGAGACAGTCAACACATGACACTCAGCTTCTGATTGGTTTCTGCAGCACCAGAATATACAGTGATTCAATCATGTCACAAAATAAAGAGGGGTTTATTATCCAACTACATCAGAATAAATGTCATAATCAATCTATAGAGAAACATTAATCTGCAACTTTTATAATAACAGACTACTCATTTGAATCAGTTTTAAGCAAAAGGGTAAACATTTGCTGGTATCAGCTTAAACGTTTATTACAATTTGTGGACAAAACTATTTTTTAATCAGTATAATCATTTTTAGATTTATAGGCAAATTATATAATCAGTAGTTGTCGCCCTTAATGTGTAAGATCACTTTAGCCTAGAAGAAAATAAAACATTTAATTATAAACTAAACCGACAAATGTCCATTTAATTATCTTCCAACTTATCTACTAAACATTGACAGTATTCCAATGGGAAACTGAAAAAACAAATTCACTGTTTTTGTTTACGTTCATCATATATTTATATTATAAATAGTTAATTAAAACATAATCAACCCCAAAGCCATCTTTCAAAAACCGTATATATATATAATTTAATGTGTATAGTCTTATTTTGCCTATACATTTTTGACTATTAGCAAACTGTTGTTGTTCTAAGATTTCCCTACAACAGAGTAAAGATAAAGTCAAAGCATTTAATATTTGAATCTTTAATACTGGGTGCTGCAATAAAATGTTCCTGTAGAACATATTCCTGGTCGATAAAAAATAAACCAAAAACAATTTAATATATCATTTCCACATAATTCAAACCATGACAAACTGCAGGCAATATCATTGACAGATTGCTTGAGCTCGACAGGAAACAGTCCACCTTTAAATGTGCTTTCTGCGGAGAAGGAAAAATCTAATTTACTTCCTCCTTCACATGTCAAGACAGAGCAGTGAGGAGTGGGGGGGTTGCTGGAGGAGGAAGTGGGGGGCAGTGTTTTGCTCTCCTGCCTGTCAGTTATGAAGGCAGCTCTGAGCCTGTTGTCAGGACTGTGACCGGCCCGTGGGGGCCGACTGGGACTGAAGCCCCCCCGAGTGACTCAGCTTCACGTGTCTGGGTCTGATGGGGGGGGGGGGGGGGCAGGAAAACCGCTAGAGTGCCACTCTTGTTTTCATTTCAGAGAGTCTGGGGGTGGGGGGGTGAGCGGGGGTTGGCAGGGAGATTTTTGGGTCAGCTTCCTCAATGTCAGCCAAGACAGTGAGTCTGTCCACAATCTGCTGGAGAGATGGATAGGGTCTGAGGTGGGGGGGGGGGGGGGCAATGTACTGTAGCCATCACAATAACAGGGACGTGCTCTGAATGTGGCTGTAGCGTAAAGAGGCTGGGGGTGGGGGCTGATCGAAAAGAAGGCAGGGCAGAGGGGAGTTTGTCATTTGTCTAATGGAAACCATCCATCTCCTCCTGCACCCCCACATTTATTGGCAATATCAAAGTGCTTTCTATTATTATATTTCTGTCGTGCTTTGGTTTTTCTGTCCATTCAAATGTATAAGGAAAAAATCCACCTTGTTTTGTTATTTGGTTTCAAGCTACTTAAACACATCTGTAGTGAGTTAGAAGCTTAAAGATTGTTTGGGCTTTGGGAACACAGGGTTGAAATGAATCTAACCTGGAATTTGTGACTTCAAATCTAAAAACTGTTTGCAGAAATGAACTTGGTCAATTAACTGCATTTGGAGAAAGCCAAATGCATGATTGTGCTTCTAATTTTATACAAAAGCCAAATGATTTTACTTAAAACTATTTAGTATTATAGCTTCTTTAATTAGATATTTTTTGAAATGTTAGAATTAGTTATTGGTTTAACTGTAGGGCCAGTTTTTTAATCACTAGTCTGTGTTTATGAATCATTTTAAAGAGCTCTATCTCAACCTTACCATATGATACAAAAACTATAGCATCAAACATTGCCAGTGTAGAATAAATACATATACATCTCTGACACAGTAACACTGTACACTTCAGGCTTTTGTCCTGCATTATATTCCACTATTGTCAACATTGTATCCACTCAATGTTTGTCTTTTACTCTCCATTATTGACAAAATGCACAAGTGTTTGCATATGCACTGCCAACTGTTTCCAAGTTACTCACGCTTTATTGTCGTTGGGGACGTGAGTCAGCAGCTCCTTCTTCACAGAGTCTTCACTGATCTTTTCATCCACCCCAATTAGCAGCTTCTTCGCCTTGGCATCCACATCCCCCACGTCCACCCCCCCCTCATGGTGAAACAGGATGTAGTCCCCCTCCCGGCTGGCGTAGATGCAAACATAGAACTCCTCTTCCTGAATAATGAAAAACAGTCCTCAATAAATGAGAATCTTTTTGAACCAACATCTTGTATAATCACTGCTTCTAGTCTAGTTGTGATTTGGACAGATGTAGAGTAGGTGTAATGACGGCTTTACCTGCTTATGGGCGACAAACGGCTCAATAAGGAAGTTCTTCAGAACGCCCTTGGCTTTTCCCACCTGAGGATCACAAAAAAATATATAGGAGATAAAATGCTTAGTAGATAAAAGAAACAGGCGCTAACAATGCATATCATGAACTCACTGATCTTCAGATTACTGGACAGAAGGGATGAAAGGGATATTAAAGCAAAATGATTAAAGTGGGCCAATTAACGTTTCAGAAGAGGAAAGGAGACAGGTGGAGAAGGAGTAGAAAGAAAATGTCATGTAATGGTCTCAGCAAAGCCACAGCTCATTTGGCGAGGCTGTCATGGTTCCTCTGTTAAAGGCCAACGGCACAAAGTAACCAGGCAGCCGCTGAGAGCAGCCAGCCGGACAGAACAGAGCAAAAAGAATTAAAAGGGCAGAGAGGGAGTTGCCATTTTGAAGTGTCCGAATAAAAAGGTTTTTGATAATAGGCAGAAGAAAAGAGAAAGACGATCTGATTGAAAAACCCACAAGGGGGCTGAGGCCGATTCAGATAAATAAACTGACACCTCCGTTACCGCCTCACATAGGAACAGAAAGCGGTTTGTTTGTGAATGCAATTTGTGTATGAATGATTCAATTTAACCACTTGTGCACACAAAATATGGATTATTTATAAAGATACAAATTATGGGCAACTGCAGCTTGAAGTGGACAACCCGAAATCTCTCACAACGACTTTTTTGTCGACACATCTGACAGAGCTTGATCTATTGAAGAAAAGCTCAGAGGCCAGACAAGTTAATTATATACAAAGGACAACTAACCTGAAATGAAGATTAATTATACATTTATAAGGAAAAAACAGATAAAGAAAAATCAACCCTCCTAAACCCTCCTTTTTATTTCTTTACCCTCTTAAAAGGACACTTACTCCTATGGCTCCCCAACACTTGAATACACAATCACAATATTATTTTTTAATTGAATACTATTAAGAAACGTAGCTTTCTTACCTATTATAAGACTAGTATGTCTGCATTTGTCAGCAATGTACGATGCTAATACATCTGCATAATTACTCTTACTCTTTATATGTATATATACTCTTAAGAGCACGATAAAGATACAAGCTGAAATACTGCCCACTTTACAGTTATAGCTTCATTTATTCTTGTTTACTGCCACTAGCAGCAGCTGACAGTTTCATCTCATCTGTGAAGAGATCTTCTCCACACACACACACACACACACACACACACACACACACACACACACACACACACACACACACACACACACACACACACACACACACACACACACACACACACACACACACACACACACACACACACACACACACACACACACACACACACACACACACACACACACACACACACACACACACACACACACACACACACACACACACACACACACACACACACACACACACACACACACACACACACACACACACACACACACACACACACACACACACACACACACCACACACACAACACACACACAACAACACACACACAACACACACACACACACACACAACACACAACACACACACACACACACCACACACACCACACACACACACAACAGACACAGACACAGACACAGACAGAGAGAGCTTGCTTCTTGGTTTATGAGGCACAGCAGCTACTCCTGGTCCACAGTAATGGTATCTTGTATATTGTGTTGTGCTGACTGGGTAGATAGACTGACTGTTTATTGACAATTGACTGCATTGATTTAAAGCTAGTGGACTGATCACGTGAACCCCTCATAAAACTGGGCACAGTTAGAAACATAGAACAGGAAGGGGGTGAAGGAAGGGGCAAGAGGAGGATGGTCTGACTGAAGCTCAGGGATAATATTGATTGAAGGAGTGTTCAATAAAGTGCACTCTCTCAAACATTGGGGGAGGGAGGGGGGTGACGTACTGTCGTCTCTCTCATGAGGCGGGTCTTCAGCCACTCTCTGACGCCGCTCAGATCCAGGTTCACGCCGACCAGCCCCAGCTTCCCTCGACGCTTGATCAGCTGGTCCGGCTTCACCACCAGCCTCTGCAGGAGGAAGATAAACAATGTTTAGTTTCACCAACCTTCAAACTGACGATTTCTTTCACTGAAATAAATATTTTAAAGGACTGCATTTGGTTTGAGATATGATGTATCAAACAGCTCTGTAGCATTTACACCCTGACAGAATATTGATCTGTTGAAAGCAACAAGCTGACATCCAATTAATTCAAACCTCGTAAAACTGTCAAGTAATGTAAATTACCTCTCACATAGACACTGCTCTGGATTCGTTTTCTTTAGATTCAGATAGCTGAAATGAGTAGTAACATTTAAAACCTGCACATATTTTTGATTCATGATAATAATCCAGATTTACTTTCTAAAATGTCAAAATGTCTTAAATGTGAATTGCTGCCTTTTCTATAATAGTCAATTGAGTTTTTACGTTTTGGATTCTTGTCATAATGAACCTACTGTGTGAAGTTGTCCACTTTGGCTTTTGGAAATTGTGATGGGCATTTGTGAATGTTTTTTTTTGTACCATTTATTAAGCAGTGATTTAGATGTTTTAATCAATACAAACATATTATAGTTAGAGCCTTATCCAACAACTGACACATAAAAAACACAAAACAGGAATATAGCACGGGAGTGTGTTCCATAACCGACTCTCTACATCTTGACTTCAAACATGTGACGGCAGATGTTTACTGATTCTGTGATGCATCAACAAATTCAAGATTCCATAACAATATTTGTTATTTTCACCTGAAGAGTGAGGTGGGATCTCTCCCTTCTGACGCAAATGCAAAACCTAACCCCCACCGACTGAGCCTGCTTCCTCTCAGTTGCGAGACAGATAAAGAGAATGACTTATGACAGCGGACCATTAGTATCTGGGCGCTCGCCAGAGAGCAAAGTAAGAGGGTGAAAGTTAATGTGATTTCCTAATCAATCCTAACTGCAGCACATATCTCCTCCTCAGACCTTGCAGATAAAAATCCTTCAGCCGGTATGGAGACACAGGGGGAGAATGTCATCTTACCCTGCAGGATGAGTCACGACGTCATTCAATTAACTCCTATTAGAGCCTGTCTATCTGCTGGTGCTTCGCTATGAGGAACAGAGAGTTGATCTGAAAGCAGGGCGACCTGGAGAACATTTTTTTACAAGAAATGATACCCTTGCTGAACCTTGACCTCCCTTTACTCTGCAAGTGAGAAACATTGTTTACCTATAAAGAATGGAAGACAAAAGAGCATTTCTCTGCTGTGTACACTTCTGTTTAATGCTTCATTTCAAATCCAATTGCTTGGTTGCTCTTCTGTCGGAGACGTCAGCTAACAAGCATCAGGAGAGCACTCTGCTGCAGCCTAAGTAATTGTCTCCATAAAGGGAAGATCATTTTCTGTGCCAGATGAAGTGGCTGCGCTATAGGCTTTTTAAAAAGGCTATAGATAGGAGATAACAACTTGTCTGCTCACTCAGCTTAAGAAAATCTAACGTCATGATCCACCTTCAGTTTCGTCAAACTGGTTCCTCTGCCTCACCTCTGTGAGCAGCCATGGGTGCTCCTTTGCCAGCTGGTCAAAGTCGGTCTCTGCCTTCACGTTGGCATATCGGAATCTGTTCTGGACGGCTGCCGATGTGCAGATGTGTTTGTAGAGGAACTCTTTTCCCGTCTGCTCGGAGATGGCTTTTGCCGACATGACTGCTGAGGCTAGACTGGCCTGAGAGGAGGAAGATGGACACAGAGAGATAGATTGGGAGATATACACATTAGCAGTGAGATGGATGAATACAGATAAATAGACATGGGGACATGGAGGGAACCGGAAAAGCAGACAAAGAAAATGGAGAAATTGAAAGAGAGGGTTTCTATTGTTTGGCTTTCTGAATTAATCCCCTTTATGAATGAGGAAAAGAAACCTGCTTGACATCCTCTGCTGTCAGATCAGTCAGAAAGGCTCTGGTAAGCAGGTGAAAGACAGCCTTGTTATTTGTATTTTCCATGAACAGCCTTCCGTAATGCTGTTTAACTGCACAGAATTAAGAGAGACTGCTAGAAAATCTGATGTGAAGTGCAGGACTCCTGTCTTTTTGCAGTCACATTGTTTATTAAGTGTGCTGAAACCAGCAAGACACAGACAGTGAAGTCAGGGAAGCTGAAGGCAGCACGATAAGCCTTGGTTTGTTTGACCTGCACACTTGTGAGGTAATGGGCAATTATTTGCTACTCAAACAATCAGGCTCCTACTGGAGAGATTACACAGAGAAGGAACAAGACTCTCACAATAATATACACAAGTAACAGGCTGATCAGATGTGAATGTTTATTAGCAGCACAGACCTGACATTTATTGTGCCGGAAGTAAAGTATGAAATTAAATTGTAATAGCATCCATAAATGTTATGACAAGAGGGAGGAGTTGTGACCTTTACACTTTGGCCTCAAGCTTCTCTCAAGGTAATCTCAAGAAGTGGTGAAACACACAGCTCACAACAGGACGATTTAAAACAGGGATTTGACATCATTATTCCCTCGAGGATACACCAATACAGCAAATATTATTATCAGAGCAAAGTCATGAAAAAAGGTGAAGAATTCCACCAATGCCAACTCCCATTAAAACAATAATATAGATTCAAAACGTAAACAAATCCTCATCTCTCTCTTGAAGTAGCGCATATGACGCAGCATGGAATAATTTTTCTTCAATGACGATCGGGAAAAAATAGAAAAATCGATTTTTGTGTGTTATTTAGAATGACATCACAACAATATGGTGCTGTCCAAAGGATTGCTACGCCACTGAACCTCTCCCAGATGTTTGCTGTTGCCTTTTTACATCAATCTTTAAATCAATTCATCAATTTGTATCCATACCCAAAGCGTTTAGTTTTCTAATGGTAGACTCAAACTGATAGAAGTGTTGTTAGATTTAAGAAAAGGTTTTTTGGCAGGGTCAATTGAATGCAACAGTATCTGTTTTTTGCTGCAGCACCTGCTTTTATCTATACTCCAACGGATCCCTCTGAGGCAAATAATATCACTCCTTGCAGTAAATGTACATCAGTATTGAAGAAAGTTGCGTATTAAGGCTATAACACAATGAGGCTTTATTACAATCTCTCCTAAATCAAAGCTTAACTCTATCATGTAACCTTGGCAGGATGGCTCTATGGTTCATTAGGCTGAGTGCTCTGGTGTCGTCCCAAACACTGCGGCCCTGGCAGCTATTCCTTCAATGGATTAATGGGACTGTCCTGGTCCTTACTATTGATCTTCCTTGTCCCTGAGTCACCAAGAACATGGTTTTTCCAAAGCTCATCCAGGGACAATATATAACATCCACTTTCTCTGTGCAACTGACCTGTCAAATGTATTGAATGTTACTGCTTCACACCAGCAATAACTGATTCAGATGATGCACAATAACATTGAAAATGATGTAGGGGGTGATGGATGGGATGGGTTGGAGGGGGGGGGGGGGGGGGGGGGGCTATATGAAGGCACAGCTCTAAATCAGGACAAGTGCACACTACAGCAAAAACAAACAGACAGGGAGGTAAACAAATTCAAGTGAAGCTTATATATTCACTCAAGACTCACGTACTAACACAAATTCTGTTTGACTTTTTAACGGTTTAAGATCCCAGAGAGAGAGGATTCAGACAACTCTTTCATTGATTAACGAACCGGCCAGACAGCAATGATTTTTTTTATATATTTGTGTGGCAAATATCCACATCACCATTCAACACGTTTAGTGATGATGACTATAACTTCTTCTTCATCATCTGTTTAAGCAGGAGAGCTGCTGGGTTTGACAGAGCAGTTCAACTTGTTTTACACTACGTGTCAGATACAGAAAGAGACAGTGAAAGAGGGACAGGTAATGAAAAAAAGTGAATTAAATGGTTATTTTTAATAACAATAAGTTATTTACCTTGTCTTTTTCTTCCTTAGACGACTCTGGAAGTATGTTGCAGTTATAAGGCGGAATTTATCGGCAGTGCTGATTCACTGTGGATACCAGAGGTACCGGAGAGCAGCGCTTTCTGGGAGTTTTGTCTCCGTCGCCCATCTGCCGATAGGCTTGTCTGATGTTTCCTGGTTTATGATTGGTTTAATCCACACCATGCTCTATTGATGCCTTCAGGGACACTAGGACATATTACAACAACACGGTGGAAGGCACACGTATAGAATAATGAATTCAAACGGGCAAAGAAGCAATGGTGAAATAAATATTCAGAGCATTTATTTAAATAAATGTAGGCTATTTAAACATTGTTTGGGTAAAACCCTTTTCAGAATTAATGTGCAACTCGAAGTGCTCAGAAAAACACAACATCTTTCAGTTTATCAGAAACAAACACAAATTCATCATATTTTGAGACAGTAAGGAACATAAGTACATCATCTGAATACGTTTGATTAAAAGCACTTGAATTTTCCGTAAACTTCACATATAACAAAATAAGATTATTGGACAAAATCAACTGCAGTGATTACGGGAAGTACTTGAAGGTATCATTGTTTCTTCTCATTGCACTCACGCACACACACGAGTCTTTGAGAAGGAGGGCTGATGATGATTGGTTGACATTGTTCTTTATGTACACAGCAACCAATGAGGAAATCGCTTCATCTTGCACACAGCCAACACATCAGGTGTCCTGCACGGACCATCGTGCACTGTGAGGGGACAATGTGAATGCAGAGCACCAGGTCATGCTCTTTTACCTGTCCTTGACCATAAACCAATAGTTATATTTTCAAGGATGTGGTGGAGTGGAGATCACTCACACGTTTTCATATTTCAGTTAATTGGCACTTATAGTATTAAAACAGTCTTTAAGTTGTAGTTAGCATCAACAAGCTTACATTTAATGTATGGAGATTTGTGCATGATAAAACATGTTTTAATGGCATTTTCTTTGTATTTTACATTAATTTAAATTAAATTGATTTTTGTACAGAAGGTTGGAAAGTAACAAAGTACATTTACTCAATTACTGTAAAAGTAACTTCTAACTATACAAAATACCTTTAGTTACTTTATGGACTAAAACGCAATCCAAAACACGTATTATAGAGATAATACTTTATTGATCCTTCTATGAAATGTACAAGCTATCAGGAAATAAATATGTAGTTATACAAGCTCCACCTTTACCAGCTGCAACATTAAAGGGATTTGTGCATAAAAAATGTAGATCAATGATATAATGAAAACATAACAAGCCATCCCACAAAATAACTTTTACTTTGTGTTTGCTAAGTATGTGTTGATTCTAATACCTTACATTAATTTGTGTCAAGTCAAATGCCGACTGCAGGAATTACTAAGTACATCCCCACTGTTTAGTATAAACAGAAAGCAGTATTTGTTTTAACCTACATAAGATGCAAAAATAACCTAAGAGATGTATGGCCATTACATGAAGCACAAATGCATTGGGTAAAACAAATGGGATGAAAGCTTTAAAGTAGAGTTGTGATATGGAGAAAGAGCTTGTTAAACTGAGCATTTGCTCCATCAGAAGCTACACCCTGGACGTTGTTTTGTTGGCAGCGATACCGTTTAGGATTAGCAATTTCACTGCCAGATTCTTAAGCAACACAGGGGGGATAAATAAAATGGTGCAATCCAGGTACAATGTTTGAAGATACACTATTTGTTTAGATCTCTTGCGCAAGCACATTCTGACACAATGCACCAGAAGCTAATACAGATTCATCTATTAAACGTTTTACAACTGGTCAGTACCAGTCTATGGTCAGTACACATTGCACAAAGAATGGGTGCCCTCTGCTGGTTTATATGGTTAACTACAGCCAGATACTTTAAGAAAATGAGCATGTGCAAATAAACCTGCAGCAACTAGCCTGCATGTTAATCACCAAACAGCGGTACTGAACATACAACAGACTGCGTAATTGAGGCAAGGCATGTTCTTTTTTATTAAGTGTACAAAACAAGTGCAAAAATAGTGATTCGTAAGAGCTACACAAAGTAGGAACTGTCCTTCAAAGATTAGTCACAAAGGATACAAATTGAAATGCAAGACATGGAAGTGCTGTTCAAAGACAATAAAACAGATCAATGATGCAGCCTTGAACAGTAGAAAAGATTGCAAAATATGAACCTGGATTCACAGCATTTGATAAGAACAAGTGCAAGCTGTTAAAACAAACACAATTCATCAGCATTCTCCCTTTAAACTATGCAAAGATTTTACAAGGAAGGACCTCAATTAATGACATACATTTTAATACACTTAATCAACTTTGGCCCATATGCTGTTGTAACAATTATTTCATAGGCAACACACACGACCCGAAATGACAGCTAATCTTTTTCACTTACAACTAAGCCAAAAGGAAGCGGCAAAGGTTCTTTTAGAAAGGCAGACAGTTGCTACTATACCAATACTGGGATGCATGCAATGAAAGTACCTAATTTTTAACATCTGAATACTGAGAGACAAGACATGTACCGAGGAGGAAATCTAACTTGTTGATAACTGTGGACCTGTAGGGGGATGCTATACTACATTAGTCTAAAACTGCAGCTACCTCCTCATCAAATAGCCAGGAAATGCAACAGATCTGTGAAACAAGATACCGAAAAACGTTGACAACAAGCCTGTCTGTATTAAAGGCATCTTAGGTTGTGGTGCAAATCAACAGTAAAAAAGG